ATATTCAAGGCTTGTCATTTAATATAGCTCGAAATGGCAGAACATAACAAGACGTGATCATAAAAAGCTGTTGAATAAGTAATCACCATTAAAATCCTTTAATAGCTGATTGGATGAGAGGGAATCAAACGAAATTGTCCGTATTACTCTCCTCTTTATAACAGTCTGAAACAAAAAAAAAACACAACAAAATAAAACAAATACAAAAGAGCTTTTGAATCTATATACAAAATCCGTCTTCGGCTCAGAGTGGCCATATAAACTTATCCCCAATCCCTCGCAATTACGCGGTTGCATGAGCTTGACGTCAAGCGCTGCATATCAATCATGCTTTGTGCAGTAGAAAACGTCGAGTGCTTTTATTGACGTGTTTTATTACGTGAACGGGAAAGTTCTTTATATCAGAGCTGCGTTTGAAAGTAAGTAATTACTTTCGCAGTCGACAGTTTGACACAATCTTCGTTTCCACTAGCACTACTAGTGTTGTACTTATATATTCCTATTGCTGCACAAATTTTGACTTCAAAATCGTGCCCGACAATGCGATTAGATATTTGTATAACAGTGTTATACAAATATAATAACAGGCAAGAGTCGGGAAGCGTTGCTCCTCATGATCACCTATATAACAATATTAAGTTGCCCCTCATGATCACCTAAATAATAATCACACAATTCTCGTTCGTATATTTGCTATCCTGATATGTTGGTTACCTGACAAATCCGCGTGTGAATGATTGCAGCTCTTCAAAAGGTGTCCGGCTGTCACTATGGCGAGGTCCTTCCGTTTGCAATAATATATTTCGCTTTGCTTCCGAAAACGTATGTTAATCCCCCGAATTTATGTCGTTATGATATTACAAGGCACGACAAAACATGTTCAATTACTTAGTACGTGTTGTAACAAGCCGCCAACTTGCCACAAATTGCAGCTAAACGCTAGTGGTCACGGCATCAAACAGCCATACAAACCTCACTGACAATGTGCAATAAGTAACAATAAATATTTCAACATTCCCCGTTATTATATTAAAATAAAACAAGCTTGATTAACGTCATTTAATGACGTCAACGTGTCTATGTCGCTTCAGTGTGCGGTATAAAATGTTAATCGTTTCTGCACGAGTTGCTTCAGTCCTGACAAGTAAATTGTGCTTTCCACTGAGAGATAAATGGCTTAGCTTTTCGCTCTAATCAATACGACGCTGTGTATTTTTGTAACAGTCTAATGTCTGTTTTCAAGCAGGTGTCTTGCTAACACCGGTTATGTATACTGACGTCAGAGACTCAGAGTACCGAAATGCCTCAAGCTAGAATATTTATATACATGCCTTAATAACTACAAATCACTACGAAAAATGAATTTCCAAAATGTTGCGTTTCGTTTTTAGCTGCATGTTCAACCAAACCAAATAAACGGATTTTTTCACATGCAAAGCTTTGTTTTGGAAATCTGAACAGACGTTTCCGAAGCAAGTCAGTTGCAAAAATCTTAGCAATGCTGTTGCTTTCATCATTACATTAATTCAAACAATGTCAATGTTATTTCCAGAGATGGAGTATTGCATGACATTTTTTTAAGATTATCTGCGTCACTGCGTCCCCAAGAGGGGACATTCTTTTATAATATTCTACTACTCGGTAATACTATTATGTGAACTATTCTCAGACTCAGTGAATGCAAGCATGCATTGCATGGAATATTATAAGTGGAACTGAATCACAACTGCTATGTCAATATGTTAAACTATTTATAAGAGAATGTTAATAAATGACGCCGATTTCTTTATCAAATTATCTTGGTTTTCAACACATTAACCATCAAAACTTGTAACATAAATTTAATTGTAAACTCTCGCCAATCTTCCGGTGCCAATCCAGACCGATCGATATCACGCAAACACTGACAAAAGTCAAAACTCGAAAGATGCATGGTTCCTCAGGTCCCCATGGTTTGGGTGCTGAGTTCATTTGAATGGTACGAGGGAGTATAGGAACGGTTCACTGTTTAATGTTTATATCTGCCAATCTGGGCTTGGTAGCTTAGAAAAGAGAAACGAAATGCAACACGGTCATTGACTCGATCAACTTCAAAATGATTATTTAAATTACTTTTACCTAATTATCCAGTATTCATGCACGAACACCCTGTATCTATATCACAGACAATGCCGTAACCTTGCACTAAGCCTCTAACTAAGGCCTCCCGGCCCGTCTCGAATGCAAAATGTCGACCTTCCCGCTAAGAAGCGTCGATAGGAGAGGGTGACATCAATACGTTATAAACGTTACTGTCGTTAGTACAAAATTATTTTGTTTCTAGCTAGACCTAGTTCAACTTCGCATACTATTACGATTTGAGTTTATGAAACTGTTTGAACTCTCATCAATATTTAAAAAATTTGGATTCCTAACGAACTACCCCTCTGACAAGAGCCCCACGGACAAAGGAAAATATATACAATCGTACATGTATATTTATGCGTTTTAATCTAACAATGGTGTTCAGACTGTATTCTTAAAGTATTCTTATGCTGCAAATCGAATTTATTATGGTAAATACAGGGACCGCGGAGACGGGGGGGCTGGGGGGGCTTTAGCCCCCCCACTTTTTTTGACAGCCAAAATTATTAAAATAGAAATCTAAATGAAACTTTCTAAATTAATTAATTGGGGGTTTTATTGATGATTTAGCCCCCCCACTCTCTAATAC